CGCTTCTTGGGCTGACGACCAGGCTACGCAGCGGTCGTCACAGGGTTACACCTTCAGCCTTGGTTCCGGCTCTGTCTCGTGGCGGGCTACTCGCTCGTCTTCGGTTCTCAGCTCCAGTTATGAGGCTGAGATCTACGCAGGGGCCATGGCTGCAGAGGAGCTTCGCTGGCTCACCTACCTGCTGACTGACCTTGGAGAGCCGCCTCGTTCTCCTCCAGTGCTGTACGTAGACAACAAGGCCATGCTGGCCTTTTGTCGAGAGCAGCGTCTGGAGCATAGAATGAAGCACATTGCTCTTCGCTACTTCCTTGCTCGTGAGCTACAGCAGCGTGGACAGTTGCAGCTTGCGTATGTGGCCTCTGAGGCCAACACTGCTGATGTGTTCACCAAGGCATTCGCGCCTTGTGACCATCAGCGCTTCTGCACCCAGCTGGGTCTTGTACCTGTCTTGCCTCACTTGCTCTCCTCTTGACTTTACTTGTACCGTCACATATATATATACCTGCTCTTGCTTGTTTAGCTTTATATATATATATATGTGTGTACTCCTGCATGTGAACTGGCCTTGTGGCCTTGCTCTTGTGCTCGGACTGTGTGGTGACTTTGTGATCCACCCTGAGCTTTGCTTTGCTTTGCTTTACTGGTCTTGTGACCCCTTGTTCTCCCCCACTTTGCCTATGGAGGTGTGTCAGATTTATATAACATAGTTACTGTAGACTATAGTGGGGTAGCACATATGGGGTACAGGTTTCTAGGGTTGTATTTGTACCCAATCTTTCCTTAGTCATTTCATTCCTGTTCTACAACTTTCACACGCTCAGTGGTTGGTAAGTGGCGGCGCACAGCAAGGCGAGCAGCAGCATCGCGCGTGGCCCACTGTGAGCAAATACTGGCGTCAGCATCAGCAGCAGGGGCAGGAGAGGCACCAGAAGTGAGGTCAAATAGGGAGAGACCGTCTTGTCAGATTTATATGACATAGTTAAGTGGTCGCACAGCAAGGCGAGCAGCAGCATCGCGCGTGGCCCACTGTGAGCAAACAGTGGCGTCAGCATCAACAGTAGGGGCAGGAGAGGCACCAGAAGTGAGGTCAAATAGGGAGAGACCGTCTTGTCAGATTTATATGACATAGTTACTGTATGCTATAGTGGGGTAGCACATATGGGGTACAGGTTTCTAGGGTTGTATTTGTACCCAATCTTTCCTTAGTCATTTCATTCCTGTAAGTGGTTTCTTGTGCACACTCAGTGGTCGGTAAATGGCGGCGCACAGCAAGGCGAGCAGCAGCATCGCGCGTGGCCCACTGTGAGCAAACAGTGGCGTCAGCATCAGCAGCAGGGGCAGGAGAGGCACCAGAAGTGAGGTCAAATAGGGAGAGACCGTCTTGTCAGATTTATATGATATAGTTACTGTAGGCTATAGTGGGGTAGCACATATGGGGTACAGGTTTCTAGGGTTGTATTTGTACCCAATCTTTCCTTAGTCATTTCATTCCTGTAAGTGGTTTCTTGTGCACGCTCAGTGTTCGGTAAGTGGCGGCGCACAGCAAGGCGAGCAGCAGCATCGCGCGTGGCCCATTGTGAGCAAATAGTGGCGTCAGCATCAGCAGCAGGGGCAGGAGAGGCACCAGAAGTGAGGTCAAATAGGGAGAGACCGTCTTGTCATATTTATATGACATAGTTACTGTAGGCTATAGTGGGGTAGCACATATGGGGTACAGGTTTCTAGGGTTGTATTTGTACCCAATCTTTCCTTAGTCATTTCATTCCTGTAAGGGATTTCTTGTGCACGCTTAGTGGTCAGTAAGTGGCGGCGCACAGCAAGGCGAGCAGCAGCATCGCGCGTGGCCCACTGTGAGCAAATAGTGGCGTCAGCATCAGCAGCAGGGGCAGGAGAGGCACCAGAAGTGAGGTCAAATAGGGAGAGACCGTCTGCCCTATCGCACTGTAGGAAAAGTTGCAGATCATCTACCCAAACCTCAAAGTCAACTGCCCGACCCTCAGCGTCAAAGGTGAGAACACTAGGGGTGGCCATGACAGCAGTAGACAGGCAGTGAGTACAGTGGTGCAAGGCAGTGCATTGGCAGAGGCGCTGCTCTTACCAGGCAAGTGAGGCGGTCCCAGGCAATCCGACAGGCGGCGGCGCCTCGGCTGTAGTGCGGCTCGACGACTCGGCTTCTCGGCGGCAAAGGCGGCTCGGCGGCAAAGGCGGCTCGGCGGCAAAGGCGGCTCGGCGGCAAAGGCGGCTTGGCAGCAAAGGCGGCTTGGCAGCAAAGACGGCTCGGCGGCTCGGCAGTACAGGCGGCTCGGCGGCTCAGCGGCTCGGTGGCCCGGCGGCCCAGCGGCTCGGCAGCTCGGCAGCGAAGGCGGCTCGGCAGGGCCGCTGAAGGGCAGGGACGGGGCCGCTAAAGGGCGGCGACGGGGCCGCTGAAGGGCGGCAACAGGGCCGCTGAAGGGCGGCGACAGGGCCGCTGAAAGGGCGGCGACTAGGCCGCGGAAGGGCGGCGACGGGGCCGCTGAAAGGGCGGCGACGGGGCAGCGGAAGGGCAGCAACGGGGCCGCTGAAAGAGCGGCGACGGGGCCGCGGGAGGGGTGGGCGGCGACGGGTCCGCTGAAAGGGCGGCGACGGAGCCGCGGAACGGCGGCGACGGGGCCGCTGAAGGGCGGCAACGGGGCCGCAGTAAGGGGCGGCGACGGGGCCGCGGAAAGGGGGTGGCGACGGGGTCGCCTAAGGGCGGCGACGGGGCTGCAGTAAGGGGCGGCGATGGGGCCGCTGAAAGGGCGGCGACACGGCCGCCTAAGGGCGGCGATGGGGCCGCGCAAGGGGCGGCGACGGGGCCGCTTGAAGGGCGGCGACAGGGCCGCTGAGAGGGCGGCGCGACGGGGTCGCAAGGGCGGCGCGACGGGGCCGTGAGGACGGTGTGACGGGACCACTAGGGGCCGTAAGAGGGGCCTCTAGAGGCCGTGATGGGGAACGACACGGGGCGAGGGCCAAGCGCGCTCCGGGCAAGAAAAAAAAGTTTGGTGGGCCCTAGGAATAGTTCCCACGAGGGAACCAGCTCCATACCATGTGAAGATTTGAACGAGAGAATGAATGCATTGAGCAGAATGAGGGAGTACAAGTAGCAAACCCTAAAGTGTTGTACCCCATAAGAACTGCCCCACTACAGCCTACATAGACTATAGCATATATGCCTGACAGCAAGTGCCGAACTTTTCTGTGCGCGCGAACCAAGCTAGAACTGTTTTGGTGGGTGTATTTCAGTATGGGCCACCCGAATATGCAACAACATTCAGGTCATTTGACGCTTTTCCCCACGCCCGTAGGGACCCATGCGCTTCCTTAGCACTTGTCGGCAGGCGCGACCATCATCGCAGGCGCCGAACTTTTCTGTGCGCGCGAACAAAGCTGTAATTGCTCTGATGGGTGTATTTGAGCATGGGCCACCCGAATATGCAACAACATTCAGATCGTTCGACGCTTTTCCCTACTCCCATACATACCCATGCACTTCCTTAGTATTTTTCGGCAGGCGCGGCCGTCATCGTAGGCGCCGAACTTTTCTATGCGCTTGAACCAAGCCAGAATTGCTCAGGTGGGTGTGCTTGAGCACGAGCCATCCGAATATGTAACAACGTTCAAGTTGTTCGACGCTTTTCTCTACGCCCATAGGGATCCATGCGCTTCCTTAGCGTATGTCGGCATGCGCTGCCATCATCACAAATGCCGAACTTTTCTGTTCGCGCGAACCAAGCCGGAATCGCTTTGATGGGTGTATTTGAGCATGAGCCACCCAAATATGCAACAACATTCAGGTCGTTCGACGCTTTTCCCTACTCCCATAGGGACCCGTGCGCTTCCTTAGCATTTGCCGGCAGGCGTGGCCGATATTGCAAGCGCTGAACTTTTCTGTGTGCGCGAACCAAGCCGGAATTGCTTTGGTGTGTGTTTTTTAGCACTGGCCACCCGAATATGCAACAACATTCAGGTCGTTTGACACTTTTCCCTACGCCCATAGGGATCCATACGCTTCCTCAGCGTTTATCGGCAGGCGCGGCCGTCATTGCAGGCGCCAAACTTTTCCCGTTCACGTAAACATATTCTACTGCGTCGCCCACGCTCATCCCTCCCGTCGCGTAAATATATTCCCCCCGTAGCCAACGCTCACTCCCCTCCCGTCGCCTTCGCTCTTTCCCCTCCAAGGTCCACGCTCACTCCCTCGTGTCGTATTCGCTCATTCCCCCCCGTCGCGGATGCTCACTCCCTCCCGTCGTGTTCGCTCACTCCCCTTCCGCCGCCCACGCGCACTCCCTCCAGTCGCGTTCGCTCACTCCCCTTCCACTGCCCACGCTCACATCGGAAAAATGTCCGCCCCATTTGCAGCGGTTGACAGTCGAGGAGATGAAGCAGCGCGGGAGTTGATGGTCGTGCACCGAGTGCCTAGTTAATGAGGCAGTCATCTGCCCAAAACTGGTGGTTCCGTCTACTGTGGTTCACAATCACTTTTCGGTGAGAAGGCAGGTACAGCTGGGTGGTGGTTTACGAAGCAACCACGCTCAGATTCTGCAGGTTGCGGTCGTTTCACAACAGGGTCGTCAACCACATCAGCTCAATGTGTGATGTTCGATTGGCCACGTGGACTGTAGGAACAGCGTCGATTGTGGCAGGAAATGGTGGTACACAACATTGCGACGAACAGTTGGGAACAGTGTACGTTACGGTTACCTGGGTAACAAATGTCAAAGTGTAACTGTATAAATTCATATGTTCCGCCCTATGTCGAGAATTTGTTTTTATACGTAAAAAGCGCGCATCGATATAATCACGGGTTGGACGTATGAATTAGTGTGACAGTATAAAGCAATTATCAATATATTTTTAATCAATGCGACTAAAGACGGAAACAATATTATTTGGTAAATCAGATGATTAAAATCAGCAAAATTAGGATAGTTATATTGCATGTTGTGGAAGCTGCATAATATCAGTGACATGTACACTAATCACAGATTGTTAACGGGAGGCCAGGGGGTTGGAACGACACCAGAGGGGAAGAAAAACAGCTCATAACCCTCAATCAGGATCCTCACTTTCCCAACACCCATCTCGAACCCCATCGGCTCATCGATCTTGAATGTGGCAGGCTCCCTTTCAAGGGTTTCCTTCAGCCATGCCGCCACCACCCTTGTCTTGGCATGCACGTTGTTGCGGTTGTTGGTCTCGTTGTTGTCAAGAGATGCATGACCCTTCTTGCCCTTGTGGTTCTCCAATGGCCATTCAACCTGCCACCAATGACATCACATGAGTTAAGAACAATATGCGGGGAGAAACAAAAATGATCAAATAACACAAGTGACAACTTACCACGTTGCAAAGATAGCCGACTGCTGGGATCTTCACTGCAAACATGTTGCACCGGGCGCTGACAAAAGCCTTCTTGACTGCCAGCTCAAAGGCCGCAGCAGCGAAAGGGCGGCCCTGAGCAGAGCAGTGCCAGTCATAGCCGTACTTCGCTGCAGAAGTGATGAACAATGGCAATCAGATATGAGCGCAACAACAGCAGATTGCTTGAGCAATAACAGAAAGGAAAAGCACTCACGGTGTTTGAACTGCTCCACCCAGCCTTTTTCATCACGCGCCTTTGTTGGTGTGATGCCACCAACCTTCAAGAGGAACCATTTCTCCTCGTCAATGACGCCACCAGCACCCCATGCCCAGAGCTTGATCGGCTTGTTCATGTTCGCACGTTTGCAGCCAATCACCTTCAGCGCCCGTTCAATGCGCTTGCTGTTCCCGCCCATGAAGAGGTAGTACTCATCTTGCGTGGTCCCCTCGGCTATGTACTTGCGCACCAAATGTGGCTGGAATTCTTCCCACTGTGGATAGAACTCCATCTCTCCTGCAGGGGCAAGGGTGATGAGCCAGGCGTAGGTTTTACCCACCATATCCTGCCAATCACGGGTAGAAAAACGGAGAGGGTTAGATTTCGTTTCTCTGGAAAGGGAAGACATAAGTATTTTGACGGGTCTCCGAAAAGACAGGGGGATGGTGGACGGGCAAGGAGCGGCCACGATAGGAAGTGTAGGGGGAGGGTTTAACGAAGGATTGAATAGGACATGCAATACAGCACAGTAGAAAACACCCACCACCAGAATCACATCGTGGGTAACTAAACTTACATCGAATGCATCGTCGCTGCTGATTGATGACGGAATTATCGGGTTGCCTGCAACGTCCTTACGGACGTTCTCCATTCGGACCCGGGGGTCGGAAGGGTCCCGAAGGGCGCCCATGTCCGCGCTCGTTCCAGCGACTTCCTCTGAGAGCTGTCGCTGCATCGACTCCAACTGCGTTTTCAGACTATCGCGTTCCGCCTCCACCGCCTTGATCCTGGCCCGAGCCTCCTGCAGCTGCGCGTTCAGAGTGGAGACCGTGTTCTGCAGGTCACGCAACTGCGCCTCCAGCTGTCGTGCTTCCCTGAAATGGTGTGCACCAGCAACTACGGTACAAGACCCGGGAATAAGACGTATCGAGAAAGGCAGACAACAAGCAAGTGGAAAGAACAATTAGACAGTCATACATGCGACGTTTTAAACAACGGAGCTCAGCTCATGGAAAAAAAATGCAGAACACATTGGCGAGAGGAGGGGGCGAGTGGGGGGCCGGGGGGGGAGAAACGTACGATAAAGTAGAGCCTCAATTCAAAACCTGGCACCGTAGCTATGAGCGTGGTGCATTTGCTTACCTTGCGACCGTTCACGCCTTGCGAGTGCTGCCGGGTTATTAGGCTGCGAGGTGTGCGGCGCCAGCTCATCCTGGCGAGCCTCCGCAGAGCGCACATCTGCCGCGCGAACCGCAGCCGCGCGGTCCTCCGCCGCGCGAACCTCCGCCGCCCGAAGCTCCGCCGCTCGAAGCTCCGCCGCCCGAATTTCCGCCGCCCGAAGCTCCGCCGCCCGGACCTCCGCCGCCCGAAGCTCCGCCGCCCGAACCTCCGCCGCGCACACTTCCGCCGCCCGAACCTCCGCTGCGCGCAACTCATCGTCGTTTCCCGCTTGGACGCCGTCAGCATCATCTGCATCGTCGTCGTTCCCGTCTTCGTCATCGCTACCAGCTTCGATGCCGGCGTATGCGATGAAGGGATCCACGCCGCCCTCCTCTGTGGCCTCAATCACTGCTGCCATCATCGGACCCGGGGCTCCGGCGGCAGGAACGGGGGGTGCAGGGAGAGCTCCAGTATCAGGGTTTAGACGCGAACCGCAGACTATGCCGCCTGTGGTTGGTGCGCCGTTTTGCGTGGAGTCCGTTGCTTCTGCCACCGGTGCAGGGTTCGCGCCTTCTGCTTCTGACGAAGTGCCGGCGGTAGGGTTGTCAGCGGATGGCGAGCCTGCAGGAATGTTGCCATTCGCACCAGAGGATCGACCACGCGCACCAGAGCCGGCGGCAGCACGTTTCCTCTTAGACCCGCCCCGACGGCCTGCAGCTGCCGTCTTACCAACCGTGGGAGCGCCGTGGAGAGTGTTGACTGCAGCTGTTTTTAAGGCAGTCTCTTTAGCTAACTGCCGCCTCTTAATCTCTTCTGTAATAACGTCATCTCCCAGCTGTGACAATGCAGAGGCGTCGAGCAGATTGAGAGAAGAATGAGGGTGGGGCAAGGTGACCCCTGCTGGATCTGGCAAAATTCTTTTCCCGGTGACTGCCCGCACTAACTGTCCCCCGTTCTGAGCCATTGGTTTGAAGAAAGTGATGGTTGACGACCAGTTAAACTTACCAAATGGGGAAAATGCCACAACGCAACCAGCCATGAAACTATTTTTTCGCACGGCTTATTATCTGTAATTCTTAGCGACACAGTGACTGTTTGCGAAGTCTCAACCCGGAAAATTTTTATTCGAACTTTGATTCGGCGAAAGTGGAAGCAAGGTAACATGCATATATGTGGATTACTATGCATACTACTAAAAAACGCACCCATAACCTATGCTACAAAGCAGTAAGTTCAACGGATATTTGAAACGGTAGTGATATAGTGCGACGTGAACGAAAAGTAGTGTTGGAATCACAGTTGCGCGTCAAAAACAAACTAATTTGATATTTACCTGAAAGCTAATGGAACAACCACGGTCGCGGTCAAGCGGTCTGTGTTCAACTAAAAATTTCCATCTCGTACAAGCACCACTTCGAAAGGTGCAGGTGAGACAAACGTCGCCACCGCGAGGACCTCGACTCCAACGGAGGTGAAGTCACGCGTGCGCGGCGCGCAGCGTGGCACGTATCTGGAGAAAATGAGTGAATGTGCCTCGTTTTCGACCATCGTGCTGCCAACACGACTGTTGCTGCAAAATGAACCAATCGGAAGCAGCCACCAACTGTGTTGGCATGGCAACTGCAAGATTCCGACCGACTAGTGCGACACCGCCATCCACATTCAGGTGCACCCCACAGTGCGCAACGCGAGGCAGTTATCCTTGTCTGACGGTGTCGCGTGTGGCAGCTGCCATTGCATCGATGGTGAGTTAATAACGAGGAAGTCGGACAAAGTATGCTGTCTGGTTCTGATTGCAAACGATTTGGGAACGTATTATAAAAAACGTATTGAAGTATATGAGTCTTAAAAGGCTTAGGCAGCCTAGATGGCTTTGCTTGCCTGGCAGGCCACTAAATTATACTACCCAGGCCAAAGTTTTCACCATGCAAACCTATTAACCAACCACTTTTCAGCGTCTTTGTCCGGGCGCACTAACTGTACCGCGCGCTTGATGCTATCAATACTTATTACTCGGTACCTCTGATTAACTCCCTCCCAGTGTAAAACCTTGCACTTGGTGGCTGCATCAACGCTGGCCTGTTCCCTGTAGTACTTGACGAACGCATAGTTTTTAACCGTGCCCGCAACCTTGGCATGAAACAACAGAAGGGTTTTCGCAAACCACTCCTCGTCCCCGTCTGAGCCCTCACCTTTGACCGCCACATCAGAAAACCATTGACGGCCATGGTGCATGGGCAGGGCGCGGATGCGGTGTGGCAGGCGACTATACTGCGCATCAACCGCAGCTGGCATGGCGAGTTCCCAGTGGACCTGCAAAGGCATCGTCAACAAGAAGGGTCATATTGTTGGGGTACGGGTACAAAAGCTACGACGGGGCAGTCCAGGACACCGTACATACATGTACTTCCTTGATAGCTTCCCCATTGCCGTCACAGCCAGGTGCCCTATCCAATGCCGCACGCAAGTGTTTCAACTCCTCGCCGATGATGGCCTGCAACGGGCCATCACGCTTCGCGTCCGGCACCTGAGGGTATGGGGCTCCAACACGTGTTTCTGGCACGTGCAATGCCCAGCTCCTCTTGGACAGAACTCGCTCGCCTGTCCGTTGGGCCTGCAGGCATGGAACACCACCATCATCTCGTTACGTGTATTCCGATGGAACTTATCTAGAACCATACACATAAGTCTAGTTCTTACCTTCACCATGGCGGTGTCATACTTCTTCTTTGCCATGAGCTGGGGCGCGATATACTGAAGACGAAGTCGTGCCTCTTCGCTGCCGACGATCTGGCTATTGACTGACCGTTTATTCGACGCCCTGTAAGGGTTTTTAATGTACTCTATGTGTAGGTGCTCGTATAGTTGTGCAGAATAGTGCTCGGGCAGGCCCGACCTACGAATGGAGTCTATGTAGTGACTGATGAGGTGCATCTTAATGAAGTTCCAATCCGACGTGTGCGGGAATGCGGTCTTGAGGTTGTGTAACATCCTGCGCAGAGGCCAAAACAAGTTGATCAATATGTAGCAAGCAGTCAGAGAATGAACGCAACACACTGTGAACTATACTACTCACCGGTGTGCCTTTGTCTTGAACTCAAGGAGGGAGGTGTCGGTGTGTTCCGATGCCCGCGCGCACTCGAGGTACCACTCGATGTATGAGACGAGTGCGTCCATCTGCGGCTGCGTAATAAAACCCTTGACGATGAAGGGCAGAATCTGCATGACCGACCGGTGTTCGTATGCCTGATAGTTCGCCCCTTTTTCGAAGTACTGACCCGCGGGTAAACGCATGTTCCCCCCTCTAATACTTCTCTTGTAGTACCTAAGGATCCTGTCCAGCTTCTTTCTATCTGCCAGTAACTTCACATGCGCGCGAATGAAGTCGACAATGTGCTCGTAAATGCCCAAATCTGCTTGGTGCATCACATCGGGCAGCACCGCAAGGTACGGGTTGAGAATGGTGTCGGACTCCCACCTCCAGCCACCTAGGAAACTCTGCAAAAAACAGAACCAGCACCTAGAGGTTAGTTTTGGACATGGTATAGCCCATAGAATGACCCTAAAACAGCACTTACAACATACTATACCTGCACTGGGTGGGTGGAGAAGGTTTCCTCCGCATCTAGTGCGAGCCGGCCTTCCAAGATTTCTCGCACAATGGTATCCTGCTCGAATGGTGTACGAGCTTGGATACGATCCTGCAGCACTGCCAAGTGCTTCTTGTCCACTTTGCAAATCGAACACGGAAACATAGTACCCAAGGATTTCGTGCACGTGATCTTGCACGACTCTGGGTAGTCCGACACATAAGCGTACAAGTAGGGCCACACGTTGATAGACTCGCCTGCAGCATTCTTCATAGCTATGCCGGTGTAGGATGCCGTCTTAAGAGATTGCAGCACCTCTTGCATGATGTAATTGTGGACTTGCATCTTATCCACTACGTTGTACTCTGCAGGAAACTCAGGGAGCAGTGCTAGTAGCACGTGCCCAAAGGGTTGCCACCTATCGTCCTTATCAATGTTACCCAATGTGAGATACACAGGATGACCCTTCGCCTTCCCTCTATGATCCACATGCGTCTCGTCACTCGCAAGGATCAAAGCAGCCACAACTCCATCCGGATCCTCCCCCCGCACCAAAGTTTGCAACCTCTCCCACCATAGGCCTGTTTCGGGGGTACTGTACACCCTCACGTTCCCAACGTATTGAGGATCTGCATGGAACACCATCTTGGCAGCCAACTTGGGGTTCTTCAACAGGTCCTGCAGAGCAATCAGGGGATCACAGTACCAATACTCCAGCCACGCCTTGTTACGTGACCGGATGGTCTTTCGTCGCCAACCTCGGTGGCCATCCGTCGCCCTAGACTCAGCGTACGCCTGCACGTCTCGATAGGACTTCCAATCTTGGATTTCAAGAATGCTCTTGCGCAGGATTTCCAAGAGAGCGTTAACCTGACTGATAGAGAGTCGGTTGGAGAGGATCCAATGCGCAAGAGCATCCTTGAGGTTAAACTAAGGGGGATCTTCCTCTTCCGCCAGTGCAGCACCTGCTTGAGGTCCCTCCCCACCATCATCATCAGCACCAGATACAGTAGCATTACTAGAGGCATCATCATCTTGTTCAAAGGGCAGCGCGCTATCAACAGAATCAGAGGATGATGAAGTATCACTATTGTCTGCTGGATCAGCACGAGATATAGGAGGTACATCACAGCACACATCTTCCGCAACACCCGGTCCTACATTTGCATGCACAGGCTCCAACCTAAGTACTGCACTCGGAATGGGGTTAGGAGGGATGAAGCTCGACCTTGCGCGCTTGGGGGCCTGGAGCTGCTCGCTACTGCTAATGAGGTTTGCAGGGCAGGAGTTGCTCTGCATGTGGCGTCCCAAACCCGATCGAGTGTCGAATGCACAGAGTCGACATCTTGGGCAGAGAAATGACATCTGCCAGAATTTTGGGAGTAGGGAAGAAGGGGGGGGAAGGGGGAAAGCAGAGAATACATGCATATGAGGGGAGGGGAATGGGGAATCCAGAGAATACATGCATATGAGGGGTGGGGATGGGGGAAACCAGAGAACACATGCATATTAGGGGAGGGGAAGGGGGAATCCAGAGAATACATGCATTTGAGGGGTGGGGATGGGGGAAACCAGAGAATGAGAGGGAATGAGAGGGGAATGAGATGGGAATGAGAGTGCACGCGCACGGAATGAGAGAATGGGAGGGGAATGAGAGGGGAATGAGAGTGCAGGCGGACGGAATGAGAGAATGAGAGGGGAATGAGAGGGGAATGAGAGTGCAGGCGCACGGAAACCAGAGAATGAGAGGGGAATGAGAGGGGAATGAGAGTGCAGGCGCACGGAATGAGAGAATGAGAGGGGAATGAGAGGGGGATGAGACAGAAGGCGCACGGGAGAAGAGGAGCAGAGGCGAGTAAAGCAATATGCGCATGGGAGGAGAGGAACAGAGTGTAATGAGAGGTCTCGCGCAAGGGAGGAGAGTTGAGGGGAATGAGACTACATGCGTGTGGGAGGAGAGGCGCAGAGCGGAATGAGTGAGAAGGCGCACGGGACGATATGAGCAGAGGGGAATGAGACGAAATGCGCATGAGAGGAGAGGAGTAGGGTGAAAACAGAGAAGAAAAGCACCAGGCCAGAGCACCAGTCCGCGAAACAGAGAAGCCGAGCATAGGAGGAGAGGAGATGTGTGAAAATTGTGCAAATACGGGCACAACAAGGGAGGAGTAGGTGGAGCACAGAGTAGACGAGCGTACGGGAGAGAAAAGGCGCACGGGTAGAGAGATACATAAGGGAATGAGAGCGAAGGCGCATGGGAGGAGGAAAACAGAGAGGATTGGGAGAGCAGGAGCACGAGTGGAGAGAAACAGAGGGGGTTGAGAGAGAATGCATACGGAAGGAGTGAACCAGAGGGGAATGAGAGTATACTCGCATGGGAGGAGAGGAGCAGCAGGGGAAAAGACTAAATGAGCAAGGGAGGAGACGAACAGAGGGGAATGAGAGGTCTCGCAAGGGAGGAGAGGAGTAGAGGGGAATGAGACTAAATGCGCATGGGAGGAGAGGCGCAGAGGGGAATGCGGTTGAACGGGCACGTGAGGAGATGAGCAAGGGGAAATGAAACGAAATGCGCATGGGAGGAGACGCGCACAGGGGAACGAGAGAGAAGGCGCACGGAAGAAGAGAGTCAGAGAGGAATGAGAGAGAAGGCGCACGGGAGGAGAGAGACGGAGGGGAATGAGATAGGACGCGCACAACCATGAGAGAAACAGAGAAGAACGAGAGAGAACGCGCGCGGGAGAAGAGAGTCAGAGGGGAAAGAGAGGAGGAGGCGCAAGGGAGGAGAGAAAGAGAGGGGAATGAGAGTGAAGGCACACGGAATGAGAGAATGAGAGGGGAATGAGAAGAGAATGGGAGGGGAATGAGAGTGAAGGCGCACGGAATGAGAGAATGAGAGGGAAGGCGCACGGAATGAGAGAATGAGAGGGGAATGAGAGTGAAGGCGCACGGAATGAGAGAATGAGAGGGAAGGCGTACGGGAAAAGAGGAGCAGGGGGTAGGGAGAGAGAAGGCGCAAGGGAGGAGAGGAGCAGCGGTGAATGTGATTGTATACGCACAGGAGGAGATGAGCGAGACAAAATGCGAATGGCGCAGAGGGGAAAGGGAGTGCACGCACAATGGAAGAGAGGAGCAGCGGGGCATGAGAGGGTACGCTCAATGGAGGAGAGGCGCAGAGAAGGAAAGTGTACGCTTGCGGAAGGGAGGATCTGACGAGTGAGAGCAAAGAACGAGGCGCGGTATGGAGGATCGGACGAGAGCTGGAATGGGAACGAGGCGCGAACAAGGAACGGACGAGAGGGGGAGACGAGCGAGGCGAGGAAGGTCGGATCGGACGAGAGCACGGAATGCACGAGGCGCGGATGCGAGGAAGAGACAATAGGCAGAATGGGATGAGGCGCACCAATGACACCGTCCGTGATAGAGAAAACGAGGGAACGAACAAGGCGCGCAAGGGCGAAACGAACGAGATAGGGAACGAACGAGGCGCGCAAATAAAGATCGGCCAAGATAGGGAACGGAAATAAGCGCGCAATAGAGGAGGGAGCTAAATGGGGCGAGGCGCGCCAATCACTAAGGCCGGGAGGGACAATGCGATATCCGCGGATATGGGGGAAACAGACGGCAGTGAATCGACGAAAAGCGCACGGAGGAATGGACGGTAGGGGGAATGGGGCACATGAGGAATGGAACAGAGGGGAGGGACGACATCGATCACGGGAGAAGCGGACGGGAGAAAGAATGCAAAGCGGAGGGCATGGGACGGGGTGGGCAGGTTGAAGCGCGCACGTGAGGGGGAATAGGACGAGGCCGCCACGGGACGAATCGTCTAGAAGGAAGAGACGTCAGCACGCACCGGAAGCGGACGGGACACTGAATGCGACGTGGCGGGTAAGGGAGGAACGGACGAGAGGAAAAGAACGCGGCGCGCACGCAATGAGCCGAGGGAAGGGAGAATTGCGACGAACGCGTCGTGTTTGGAGTGAAGGGGCACGGGAGGATTGGAGCGTTGCGAAGGGAGAGTCTGGAGACACACCTTAGATTCTCAACAGTTGGTATAACATCCCGCATAGAAACGCAACCCGGTTCCACACGAAACCGCTCCTGAACCGTGGCGAGTAGTTATTTTGTTGCCTGTAAGGCGGATGGCCACGTCTGCTGAGATACACGCCAGATTGAAGTACTGTGGCGGAGGTGATCACCCAGACTAAATAAGACAGTAACAAGGTTTAACTAGCACAAGGGTCTGACTACTTAGTCTCTGTTGTGCTCACCAATGTCGAGAGAATTTTGCTAGGGAGATTCGAGTCGGTGCTCCAGCTCGAAATCCTGATTGATAGAGGTATGCACTTCATTCTGGTATGATGCGATGCTGTGCATACTATAGCGCATTGACAGGGTTTCTTTGCGATTAGGTACGGTTTCACGACAGTGGAACGTGAAAGTGGAGCTGTACTGACACCACCCAATCAGAAACTTCTGGGTGCACGGTTGCCACTGGGTACAAGTACAACCAATGGTCACGTCAGAAAAACCACTAACACTCATTGGCGCGAATCTGATCATCCTGACAGCTGCACCCTCAACTCCTGCTCGAATGCCTCGATTTGAGGAACTCCCTAAAGCACGAGCATGGCAATTAATAAGCAACGACATTCCCAATATTAAAGCCGTAGTTGCCAATTGAACATGCGAATTGAAGAATGTGTCACCATTAAAATAAAATATAATATACTACCCAACAACGTTCGTTATAACAGAATAATTAAAAAAAGATACCACTTACAAAAATTGGAAAGACCGATTACAAAAACTACATAGCACCCAAAATTTGAATTCACGATACAATAACATAACAATGAACATAATTCATCTATTAAGTACAACCACTATTTTTTTCTACAACTGTCAGACAGCTCCCAACTCTATCGCGACGCACAGCTTAGGAATAACACACCTACCCCGTTTGTGATCGATTTCTGATTGTGAATGGCAAGAACCACCCACTTACTGCCACGTCTGCAAATCGAGACAACTTCCGAAGTTGAGCACCGATCGTGGTGAGAGACCCAACAGGTGGCTTCGTCAAACATGGCCCCTTCAACTGCAGGTCACTACCGTAAACCACACTACTCCGACGATCGACCATTATTCGCCTCCTCGCTGCCCCAACCGGCCGATTAACTGTCGTTCATGACATGAACTTCAACATGGAAATCCAAGCCGATACCCCACCACGCGGCATCCGGCGGGATCACATTTTTCTGATGCACTCCCTCCCGTCGTGCTCGCTCACTCCCCTTCTGCTGCCCACGCGCACTCCCTCCCATCGCGTTCCCGACGATTCCCCTTCCACCGCCCGCGCTCACTCCCCCCTGTCGCGACAGTCCCCTCCGTCACACACGCTCATTCCCCTCAATCGCCCACCTTCACTCCCCTCCGTCGCCCACGCTCACTCTCTCCCGTCACCCACGCTCACTCTGACGGGAAGCACGCTCATTCCCCTTCCGTCGCCCACGCTCACTGCCCGTACTTCGCATACGCTCACTCCCTCCCGTCGCCCACGCTCACCCCACTCCCGTCGCCTTCACTCATTCCCCTCCGTATCCCACGCTCACTCCCTCCCGTCGCCTTCGCTCACTCCCCTTCCGCCGCCCACGCTCGCTCCCTCCCGTCGCGTTCGGCCCCATCCGTCGCCCACGCTCACTCCCCTGCCGTCACACACGCACGCACCCTCCCCTTGACCGAGAAGGCATTCTCCGCTTCCGTCGCATACGCGTTCATCTCCCCATGCCTCATCTCCCCATCCCTCATCGCCCCATCCCTCACCTCCCCATCCCTCACCTTCCTATCCCTCCTCGTACCATCCCTCCTCCCCCCATCCTTCCTCTTACCATTCCTCCTCTCCCCATCCCTCCTCTCCCCATCCCACCTCTCCCCATCCCTCCTCTCCCCATCCCACCTCTCCCCATCCCTCCTCTCCCCATCCCACCTCTCCCCATCCCTCCTCTCCCCTTCTCCGCCTCACCCCATCTCCTCCGCCTCACCCCATCTCCTCCGCCTCACCTCATCTCCTCCGCCCTCCCATCCCCACCCCGTCCTCCTTCCTCACTTCCCGCTTCCTCCCTGTCTCCTCGCCACTTTCTGCCATCCCTCCCTTCCTCCTTTCCTCCCATAATCACTTCCTTCCACCCTTCCTCCTCCTTTTTCCCCCTAACCCTCTTCCACCCACCTCCCCATCCTCCCTGCAGCCCTTCCTCCCTTCATCACTTCCTCCATTCCTCCATTTTATCCCTTAATCAACTCCCCCCTTCTGCCCTGCCTCACATCCTTCATTTCCTGAATTTCCCTCTTTCTACCATCCTCCCTTCCTCCCCACATCCCTTTCAGTTCAGCTGTCTCTCCCGTCCTCCTCACTCCCTTCATGTATTCCTCCCTTCATCCATGCCTTTCTTTTTATGTCACATTCGATTTTCTGGTTGGTGTGTTTGTACAGGAGGTCCACTAGGCATCTAGTTGTGATGTGTTGGATGTTGGATAGTTCCGGGAATATGGCGAAGCCATGCCATGTATTGGCGTTTTGAAATATTTCACCATTGATCAGTGCCAACTTGCCAAGAAGGGCAACAATCAGCATATTTTCTGAAAAATAGGAGCACAAATGACTGTTGGCCCAAATACAGCAACGAAGCTACGAAATGTTGCACTACTTCTGCGACGCTGAATGCAATAAACCACAACCCATGTTAATGTGACAACACTCGGTGCTGTGCACCAGTACCGTACGCTGCATGGAGGGAAAAGTGGTGAGTGAAAGGGGAACGACAGTGAGAGAGAGTGAATAGGATGTGAACAATGGGAAAGAGAGTGGCGGGAACAGGGGTAGAACGATGGGGGTTTGAGAGCGAGCATGGCGGAAGAAAGCGAGCCGGGAGGAAGGGGGGGTGAGCAAAGGGGAAAAGAGAGCCAGCACGGGGAAATGAGGGGTGAGAACAGGTGAAAAGAGAGTGAGCAGGGGGGGACAGGAGTGTGTGAAGCGGCAGATGGGTCAATACACAGCAACTGGCATGAACGCCCTTCCCCCCCCACACACCCTTGCTTGTGGCCAGTGCATTTCTGAGAAGCTTCTCCTGTTCAGCCCCGCGGGTCAGAGCAGCCCTGTCCATGCTGCACTTGCCGAACGCCGCCGCCACGCTGGCCGCTGCCTGGAGGAGTGTGAGAGGGGTGAGGAGTGTAAGAGAGGCGAAAAGTGTGTTCACCGCTGGTACAGGCGCCCTACAGTGGCGACGGCAAGGCTTGCTCGGAGCGCTCAGCGGCATGGCATACACACTTGCCTGCATTGGTGAGGGGCAGGGTGCGACGGGGTGTGAGGGAGAGAGGAGAAGTGCTGCGTACTGAAGTGATAGAGAGGAGAGTGGCGAGGGACAAAGAGATGAGAGCAAGTGTCCGGGTGATCAGCAAGGAAGCTCTGAGAATGGCCTTGACAGGGCGATCGGCATCCTGGCACCACCCACCCCGCCTGCTCCACCTGTGGATCTGCGCTGCCCTTGTGCCTCCCTCCTCCACTGTGTAGCAAGGCAAGGTGAGGCACGGCAAGGAGAGGCGAGGCGAGGCGAGGCGAGGCGAGGCGAGGCGAGGCGAGGCGAGAGAAAGTGGTGGGCAGCAGCAGAAGCTCGAGCTGCTGTCGCATCGGCAGCGCTGCCTGTGGCCCCCTCAGCGCGTCCTCTCTTGCTCGCCCGTCCACCTCCATCTCCGGCAGCAGCTTGGACGACAACATTATTGGCAGCACTGGGAGGCAGGGGGTGGTGAGCCAGGAAGGGAGACGGAAAGGAGGAGAGACAAGGGGGAGGGAAGTGAAAGGGAGCGATGGGTTGATGGGAAGGGTTGGAAAGGAAGGGTTGGAAGGGATGGGTTCGAAGGGAAGAGTTCTAGAATGAGCAACGGGGAAGAGAGTGAGCAGCGGGGAAGAGAGTGAGCAGCGGGGAAGAGAGTGAGCAGCGGGGAAGAGAGTGAGCAGTGGGGAAGGGAGTGAGCAGCGGGGAAGGGAGTGAGTAGCGGGGAAGGGAGTGAGCAAAAGTTACACCGATGTTTGAGGAACTGGGAGGGATGGGGAGCGATGTCGACGCGGCCACAGGGAAGAGAGGAGAGTCGACGGGAAGAGCGATGGGAGGGTAGCGATGGTGATGGGCGCAGGAAGGGAGGCTGACGGGCGGGGGTAGTGCGGGCAACGGGAAGGGAGTTGTGGGAGTAGGAGAGCATTACAGGGGTGAGTAGAGTAGATGCTTAATACACTCTGGACATTCCAACAGCGAGGAGGGGAGGTGATTACAGTAGAGGGTAAGGACGGAAAAAGAACGAGCGCAGTGGGGAGGAGAGGAGCAGAGACGAGACGAGAGGAGAGGTGAGGAGAGGAGGGGAGAGGAGAGGAGGGGAGAGGAGAGGAGGGGAGAGGAGAGGAGAGGAGAGGAGAGGAGAGGAGGGGAGAGGAGGGGAGAGGAGAGGAGAGGAGAGGAGAGGAGAGGAGAAGAGAGGAGAGGAGAAGTTTGCTGAAGTGGTATAGGAAGGCCTTGGCCCATGACGGGAGGGATGTGAGGGCGACGGGGAGGGATTGTGAGGGCGACGGGGAGGGGCGACGGGGAAGGACATTGAGGGCGACATGAAGGGAAAGTGGGGACGACGGGAAGGGGAAGCGGGGACGAAGCGGCGACGACAAGAAGGGGAAGCGGGGGCGACGGGAGCGGGAGTGGGGGCTGATGCTACGAATACGACGCGAACGTGCATTATGGGCGACGGAGAGCAGAAGTGTGGGTTGAGGGGAAGTGATGCGACGGGAAGTTTAGGAAGGTCGACGGTGCGGTGCGATGGTTGGTGAAGCAAAGTCATCGGAAGAGGGATTTGGTTTGAGCAGGGGAGGAAATGGTGGAGTGGAGGTGGTAAACACGGGCAGAGGGAAGGGTAGAGAAGGCGGCGGGGCGGGAAATTAGGGCGTCGGCTCGAGGGAGGACCATGGGCATGGGCGACGGGATAAGGAAGCGACAGCGAAGAAGAGGGGGAAAGCGAGGTCGATGGGAGGGGGAAAGCGAGGTCGACGGGAGGGGGAAAGCGAGGTCGACGGGAGGGGGAAAGCGAGGTCGACGGGAGGGGGAAAGCGAGGTCGACGGGAGGGGGAAAGCGAGGTTGACGGGAGGGGGAAAGCGAGGTCGACGGGAGGGGGAAAGCGAGGTCGACGGGAGGGGGAAAGCGAGGTCGACGGGAGGGGGAAAGCGAGGTCGACGGGAGGGGGAAAGCGAGGTCGACGGGAGGGGGAAAGCGAGGTCGACGGGAAGGGGAAGCGAGGGCGACGGGCGGGGAGGCGGCGAGGCGACGGGCGAGGAGGAGGCGAGGCAACGGGCGGGGCAAGGGCGGTGGGCGGGAAGAGCGAGAGTGACGGGCGGGGGACGCGAGGGCGACGAGCGGGGAGAGCGAGGTGGGCAAAGCGCTGCCGTCTCCCGTGTCGACCATTTTCTCCGTGCTTCACACACGCAGTCAGCGCCTGCGATTCTCTTCGATTGAGTGTACGTGCTGCACCTACTATTCGATCGTCCCAAAAAATGTTCGCTTGATATGCATGGCTGGTGTGTGCTATGCTTGGATCCTAAAAGCTAGTGTCTAAGTTGAAGCTTCTTCTGTCACTGGTTTTTTACTCTGCTCCAACTCTCTGAGGTTGTCGCCAACTGTCGGGTTGCGATGTCTGATATCCTCTCGTTGACTCACGGGAGAGCCGCATCATGTTGCGTCCTACCAAACCAAGCGTTGACTCAGTTTTTGTAATTTAGGCTTCGGGTTTTACAAATTTCGCGCCCTTATTGACATTTCAAAATACAGCCTTTATAAATCGCCTTCCATATATTTGCCTACCATTTTGCACGGTATCCCATTTTTCCATGCTTATCGTCCATCCCAACATCTTATCCCAAAATCTTAACGGACTATACATACGCAACCATTAGCGGAAGTTGAGAGCATCATTGTGCCAACATCAAGCATTGGCATGACAAATCTGCTAGCTTTGACAAATCCGTATTACCCCAGACATACCACCCGCCGAAATAGAGCACCCCCCGGGTGGCTTGTGCGGGGGGGGTGCTATAGCGGGCCTCATTTCTTCTATACCCCCCTTTTGGGGCGATCCGATATAGCACCCGGGGGGGTGGGTGTTATGTACGGGTAATATTGCAGTTTTTGCAAATATACACTGTGGTTGACGGCGAACGTGCACTGAACTTTGGGTGGCACGTTGTGGGCGATATTCGTGGCTGTGTGGTGCCAAGTCACACTACTGACGTGTACTTTCGCGTACACTTGTCCAGATTTTATGGCAGGCGAACTTCAGAAGAACCGTGATCTGACCCAACACTTTGTGTGACTTCACTACAGTAAAATCACGACTGCCAGCTTGGTTGTGTGTTCTGTTTGATTTCGACCGGCCAGGGAAGTGAGGCGTGGGAGGGAAATGGGAGAAATTTGCGTGATTGGCTGCAACACTGATTTCTTGCTCTGAACCCTGACAACTCAGAGTAAGTCGTTGGCCACTGACCAATCAGAGTAGCAAACCTACGAAATATGTGCCCTCATAATCCAGGGAGAATTTTTTTCCCGTAATCAGGGGGGCCCGAAATGAAACGTCAGCCCTGGGGGGTGTGTCTTCTTTCCAATCAGGGCCTGCCTGTGGGCCTTGTTGGAGCTTGCAATGTGGTAGCTAACCCACGAGACTAACGTTATCGCCCAGTCCTCGGTTTTGCGCACCCGACCAACAATCTACCACCGCGTCAAACATGTACATTTTGTTCTCAACCTTATGTGCTCTAATAAAAATATACATTATGTAACGACCCGGGTGCAATGTAGCTTTTTCCGATGACAAGACCCCCCCCCCCCCCTTTTTTCTGTGTAGTTATCATAGCACCCTAGGGTGGTATGTCCGGGGTAATACGGTACAAGTAGAGTAGAACCTCCCCAACCCCCCTCTTCCTCTTCCCCCCCTCCCCCCCTCCCCTTTCCCCCACTTTGTTGCATTGCTTTCCTTTACTAGAGCTATCCAATCCAGCTGATACCGAGAGTACGTTCGTTCCCCCAACCCAACACCTAACCTTCTCTGCACGTTCGTCGTCCACCCGAATCACATCCTATCAAGCAGACCCAGCTCCACAATCGACGTGGCCGCCTCAATGAGCGCCACTCTCGACGACTGATAGATAATCCCCATGTCGTTCTCGGCCTTGCTGCCGCTGTACCGGTGCACCACGCCCAGGTTGCGGCGCATGAAGTCGATGCCCACGGCGGGGTTCACCATGGCTACCAGCATCGCCATCCAGTCCGGCATGCCCATCGATGGCAGGCGGTAGTTGGGGTACTTGGAGCGCAGCACGTCTGGTGTGTTTGTGGGGGGGAGAGAGGGGAGATGTGAGAGGTTGGTTTGGTAACCAGGTGTGTGTGTGTGTGTGTGTGTGTGCGTGTGCGTGTGTGTGTGTGTGTGTGTGTGTGAAGGGTAGAGGGATGTGAGAGGTGGTTTGGTAAGCACATGTGTGAGCCCACGCCATCCAGTCAGGCATGCCCATGGAGGGCAGGCGGTAGTTGGGTACTTGGAGCGCAGCACGTCTGGAGTGTGTGTAGGAGGGGGATAGAGAGGGAGAAAGGGCGGTAGGTGAAATGCGGGAGAGTGGTTTGAAGAATACGCGTGCCATCCAGTCAGGCATGCCCAGGATGGCAGGCTGGGGTACTTGGAGGGCAGCGTGTCTGGAAAGTGAAGAGGGGAGGGGGAGGGTGGCGACGTGTGAGAGTGTGGCTTGGTTTTCCACGGGCAACAGGCGGTAGCTGGGGTACTGGGCCCACAGCACGTCTGGTGTGAGGAAGCGATAGGGAGACTGTGAGAGGTCGCTTTGGTACCCACGTGGGTGCGCCTGCCCTCCAGTCGGGCATGGCTTGGGCTGACAAGCAGTAGCTGGAGAAGTTGGAGCGGATTAAGTTGATGGGTGGGGTGGGGGGGAAGTGGGTGGAAGGTGATTGGAGAGGGACGTAAGGGGGAATGTAAAAGGATTGGTTTGCCCATGGGCATGCTTGTGGCTGGTTTGCCCATGGGCATGCTTGTGGCTGGTTTGCCCATGGGCATGCTTGTGGCTGGTTTGCCCATGGGCATGCTTGTGGCTGGTTTGCCCATGGGCATGCTTGTGGCTGGTTTGCCCATGGGCATGCTTGTGGCTGGTTTGCCCATGGGCATGCTTGTGGCTGGTTTGCCCATGGGCATGCTTGTGGCTGGTTTGCCCATGGGCATGCTTGTGGCTGGTTTGCCCATGGGCATGCTTGTGGCTGGTTTGCCCATGGGCATGCTTGTGGCTGGTTTGCCCATGGGCATGCTTGTGGCTGGCAGGCTGTAGGTGGCGAAAATGGAGTAATGTATGTCTGGTGGGGGGTGGGGGTGCTGAAAAATACACATGTAGAAATTAGGTTACCTTGTCATTGCATACCTGTTATTGTGCAGCATACCGGCCATCTGTAGCAGCGACGTGGTGTCACCATTGCACAGGATGTAGCGCCCCTTCATGCCCTCCTCCCTGCTCTTCCTCTCATGCCAGTAGTCACCTTGCTTCCTCATGCCCTCCTTTCTCATTTCTCAAGGGCAACGTACCGGCCATCTGCAGCAGCGACATGGTGTCCCCATTGCAGAGGATGTAGCGCCCCTTCATGCCGTCCTTCTCCAGCGCCAGCACGTGTGCCAGTGCCACGTCAGCCACGTGCACGATGCCAAAGTGCAGATTGGGAGCCAGGAACAGTGTGCCGTCCAGGAGCTGTTTTACCGACTGTTGTGGGGGGTTGAGAGGGGTGGTGAGGGGTGGTGGTGAGGGGTTGTTGAAGGGGGGGGGCTTCAGAACTCGCCTACCCAGAGAGCAGGTCGGGGGCGAGGATCAGTGTGCCGTCTAGGAGTTGCTTCACCGACTGCATGATGGGGGATGGGTGGTGAGGGGTGGTGAATGGTTGGTGAGAGTTGAGGGGGAGGGATTCAGAGCCAGGAGGATCTCCCCGGTGCAGGTCGGGGCGAGGAAGAGAAGAGTGTGCGGTCTAGGAGCTGCTTTACTGACTGCAGTGGGGGTTGTGAGAGGTGGTGAGGGCGGTGATGAGGGGGTGAGAGGGGTTGAAGGGGGTAAGGTTCCATGACAGGAGTGGGTGGAAGGAACATGACCAGGGAAATGGGAGGAAATGAGGCAAAGGTGAATTCACGAGAGAGGAGAGATGTCAAGGGAGGAAGACAGGGTGAAGGGGTGGGAGGTGGGGGAATGGGTAGTTATGGGGGAAACGGGAGCAGAAGAGGCAAGCGCGGCGAGTGCACGCCCCCCCGAGCGTCATCCAGCGCCACACCACCCCCGTGCCCACACACGGGGTCAGTGTGTGGGTTGCCCAACCCGCCCCGCATACTTCGCCCACTGGAATTCCGTTCCAGTTTCAGACCTCACCTGCAGGCTGCCCTTCACGTGCTCCTCCCGTAGCGCCGGTCCCAGCACCAAGCTAGGGCACAGCGTGACCAGATCGAATCTCCACTCCACGCCCTTCAGCTCGTCCGCCACGCGCCACGCGTACTTCTCAGCGAGGGTTTTCCCCATGCTGTACGGCGCGCGCAGCGACAGCTGGCGGTTCCAATCGGCCTCCGTGAAGACGTGGTCTGGCGGGAACATGTTGTCTGATACCGCTGCCACTGATGATGTGAGCACCACTTTCCTGGCAGTTGCAAGGGGAGTGGGAAATCGCCGGGGGAGGGAGGAGAGGGGGGAGGGAGGGGACAGGGGAAGTAGAGGCGAGATGACTACCTGTTCGAATCGGCTTCGGTAAACACGTGGTCTGATGGGAACATGTTGCCACTCACGATGTTAGCACCACCTTCCTGTGGAAGTGAGTGGGGTATGGGGGGATGCGGGGGGAGGGGGGGAAAGGGGGACGAGAGAATAGGCAGAACTCCAGTTGAGCTCTGGCGGGCACATTGAAGAGCACATGCGGTCAAAAGCTGCTGTCAGTGATGACGTCAGCATTAACTTCCTGTGGGAATGAGTGGGTCAGTGGGGAATCATGGGGGTAAGGGGGGAGAGGGGGTGGGGAGGCGAGAGGAAGGGAAGGCAGCTGGAGTATTTTAGATTGGACTCTGAGACCATGAGGTGTGGTGCGGCTGCTGGTGACTGGTGGTGACTGGTGGTGACTGGTGGAGGAACCAAGGCGGAGGGCATTGGCTCTTCTCTGCTGCTGCATCTGTGGAAGCAGCAGCAGCACGAAAGGCCAGCTGGCATGAGATGAAAACGATCCCATGACGAATGCAATCAGCTTGCGGGGCATTTGGACGCATGTGGATGAAGGGACTGCGATGGGGATTGATTGAAGAGGATAGAATAAAGAGGGAGGAAGGAAAGTGTGGAGATTCATCTGGCACACGGGTGCGACCAGAATCGTACGAGTGGCGCATTGCTCTACTAGCGCCACGCCACTGCCCCTCCTCTGCCCCAACCCACCCTCCGCCCCACCGCTCCCTCCCCGCCCCACCACCCCACTCACTTGGCGCATTGGTGCTTCATGATGGACCCAAACACGTTCCGCGTGCCGTCCACAACCACCCCTCCTTCTTCCCCACCCTCCCTCTCCCCCTTGCTCTGCCCCGCCCCACCCCTCTCCCTGGCTCACTTGGTACATTGGTGCTTCATGATCGACCCAAACCCGTTCCGTGTGCCGTCCAAACCCCTCCCCCCGCCTCACCCTCTCTCCGCCACAATCCTCCCTCCGCCCCACCGCTCCCTAACCCTTCCGCCACTCACTTGGCGCATTGGTGCTTCATGATCGACCCAAACACGTTCCGCGTGCCGTCCAGTGCTGCCGCCACGATGGTCTGCGGGTCGCTCTTACTGGTCGTCATCAGCGCTGCCACGTGGCACACCAGCTCGCACCCCTCCACTGCCTCGTCGAAGCTCCCCGGCGCCGTTAGATCCGCCGCGAACAGCTGGATCGTGCCCGGCGTGCCGTCCGCCTGTAGTATGCGGGAGAAAAACAAAAGAAGAAAGAACGGAAGAAAAGGTGCGTTTAAGGAGAATGATTGATTCTCGAAAGCGAAGACATCCGGGGTGCCACGTGGCACAGAAGCTCGCACCCCTCCACTGCTTCGTCGAAGCTTCCAAGGGTTGCTGGGTCTGCTGCGAGGGGCCGAATCGTACCGGGAGTGCTCTCAGCCTACCACGTGAATGACATCCAATCTCAGCCGTCCATCCGCCATGCTACCCGCAATCCCAACCTTTCGTCCCTTCTCACCTCTCCTTCACCCTCCCTCCCAGCCATTCCCCATAACTCCCAACATCCGCCGACATTCCCAATTCGTCTCCACGAATGCTCAGGGAACGAACCGCCAGGTAATAGAAATGAAGAAAAAACGGAACAATCTGTAATGCCGGTGTCCAGGACAAGGGGCGCCTATGTATCGTCGTGCGGAAAAGAGCTGCAGGTACTGTATAACTAAGGAGCGGGAATTCTTGCAGTGAGTTCGTCGATCGCGCTTGGACATCGAATTCAAGTCCAATGCAAACGTCAGCTCCTAACAACAGCCTTTCGTTGCCGTTAATCGAAAAAAAAACGGTTCCAGGCGTTCGACATTCGGAAACAACATGATTTGGATTTGTCGAGTGCCTTACGAGGCCGCGCAGCCAGTTGGTTCGCGGGTCATCGAGGTCTCTGACGGTGCCGCGCACGTGGTAGCCACGCTCCAACAGCATCTTCACCACGTAGCTGCCGATGAAGCCTGGCGCGGCGAGGAGGAAATGGAATGGAAGACGAGACGAGTAGGTAGAAGGAAACAAAGGGACATTGAACAAGAGTAAAACGATTGAACACACGTACGATGCCATGACTGGCCAAACGAATGATGCTGCATAGAGGAGCACCGGGAATGTCGGGAAAGGCAACACGAATTTTGAAGTTCTACGAGAAATTGAGAGCGGAAATTACCCGACACTCCCGTGACGCAGACTTTCTTCCCCTGCCCTGGTAGCTCGTCTCCCCCCATCCCTGACGACGGTTACGCTCGAATTGCACGGGGTTAGTCTTTGGTGACGAGCTAATGCCTCCAAATACCGCGCGCTTTAGGCTATCTGGTATACAAGAATCTGGAATGCGGTGCGCGGTGGGACGACGAAATCGGTAAGCCGTGAGTTCGCAGGTGAATGTGGTAGTGTACACTAATGTACCGTAATCTAGGGTCGCGACAGCTGTGAAATAAAGAAGATGCGCGTGGAGCAGGGATGGGGTGAAACAAAAGAAGCAACTTGGGCAAACTTTCAGTTAGATGTTCAGGCGATGGAGAGATTCGAAAAAAGGCAGAAATGGGATGAAAGGGAGGTGGAGGGGAGGAAATAGAGGGCATGGGAATTGATGGTTGGAAATGCAGCAGGCCGAGATTTCGGGAAGATATCTCCACGCTGTCCGCTTTATAGGAGACGGCAGTCACGGAGCTTTTACATTGATGTGCAGACTTATTGTTCAGCTGCATAACAGCTACCAGACCAGATCGTCAATTCCAGACCATAGTCTAACATCAATTCGAGAACAGAAGTTGTAGTTAAGCGGTTAAACCACAAGCATCGCAAAGCCGAGTGATGTACAAATTATTTGCACTTGCGTAGACATGTGGTATGCTTCATACTTCAATCAAGCCTCCATGGGAGCGGGACCCTTAGAGCCCTCCCCTATACCACTCTCCCCTCTTTCACCTTCTCCCGGCTTCTCCTCCTCCACATCCTCCACCTCTACCTCCTCCTTCACAGCCCCTCCCTGTCCACCCTTCTCATTCTCCACCCTATCTATATGCTCCTGTACCTGCGCATCCGTCAAACTGCTAAACGCCTACCCCTCCCCAAAGATAGAGACACTACAGTTGGCTCCACTCAGCCCCCCCTCTTGCAGCGACTCCTTCACAGCAAGCAGCGTGTATCGCACCAACTCGTCCAGCGAACACGCCCTGAACTTCTCATAATTGCGCTCCAGGTATGTCTTGGCGGCCTGAGAACACGCCCCGATCGCCATGGCGTGGAATTCCCAGAAGTTGCCTGACGGGCAGGTTTGGAAAATTATTTGCTGGACAAGGCGCTCCGTGGAGCCTACTCGTGGGAGCGGCGGCAAAAACAATCTGGAATGCGCGCTGCAGCTTCCGATATAGACAGGTGGCTACCAAAAGAGGGGATGCGCTTTTTCAAGTTCTACACTACTTCCTACTCGCTTACAAGATCCTCATCTGGAAATACTCCAATGGCTCCAAGAAGAAGAAAGGCAAGGCCTCAAGGATCACCAACCTGACACAAATCCATCGCTTCTTCCAATTCCCTGAACCCAACTGCCCAATCATCCATCAAGAGCTACGCGACACCTGGCTCCTCAACGACGCCTTCCAACCCCCCTGACCTCTGGCGCAAGCCCCTACAATGTGTCGACTAGAGATTTGTCGTGGACATCTCTGCTCCAGTAGCAGTAGGATAACGTGTTCACACGTGCTCCCTACGAGGAGCTGGGCTCTGCTTGTTTCCTACTCTAGTTGCATGTTTGTAAAAGGTCACGACCTAGTAAAAACCGTTAAACCTCTCCCCACCACAAACCTTTCTCCTCTCACGTTGCCTAGGCGTTGCCTCCCTGCACTGCCTAGAAATCTGCACTTCCATAACTCATTCACTCACCACTCTCGCTTCAAGCACTAGTTACTATCGTCCCAGCCTTTCGCGACCAGTTCGACTTCTCTGTCTGGTTTCCTTGATGGCCTCAGTTTGTGAGTACCCTTCGTATCATGCCGCGCTTAGCTTCTAGAAACATCTGAACACGAAAAATGTCGTTCCAGCCAACGCTGCAGCGCCAATACAGCGAGAGATGCCAGCGATGACGTCTAATGCTGAAGCATTCGATGCTTCAGCGTCGGATGTTCAACCGTCGGATCATGCTGGAGCGCCAGATGCTGAAGGATCGGATTCTACATCATCGTATGCTGAACCGTCCGCTTCAGCATTGGATGATGCAGCATCGGTTGGTGAAGCCTTGGATGCTGTGCCGTTCATTGCTGAACCGTCACGTCTTCCGGCGTCGAATGCTGAACCATTGGTTGGTGAAGCGTCAGATGCTGAACCGGCGGGTGCTGCAGCGTCGGAAGTAGAATCACTGGATGCTCAACCTTCGGATGCTGAAGTAATGGATGCTCCAGCCTCAGATCCGACAATGTCAGCTTCGAAGATGATATCGTCAGCTTTTGCATGACGGCGGAAGCTAGAAGGTCAGCGAATGCTCTCCTAGCGCTGCTGCCGTCGCAGATCCCGAAGCCAGTGGTAAGAGAGCAGTGGTGAGGCGCATGGAAGGAGCGACGCTCATCCCGATGCATAAATTAGCCGCACCGTCGCACCTAGTAGTAGGCAGGGAGGCGAGGGGAGTGGAGGTCGAAGCTGCAGGCAAGCGGCCGAGCAGAGCAGAGAGGGTCGTGTGAAATTGAACGAGAATGAATTGACTCAGGGAAAGTTGGGTACAAGTACAAACCTAGAAAGCTGTACCCCATATGTGCTACCCTATAGCCTACAGCAGCTATGTCATATAAATCTGACACACCCCCATAGGCAGAGTGGGGGAGAACAAGGGGTCACAAGACCACTCAAGCAAAGCAAAGCAAGCTCCGGGTGGATCACGAAGTCTCCACACATTCCGAGTACAAGTTCAAGGCCACAAGGCCAGTTCACATGCAGGATTACATATATATATAAAAGGCTAGACAAGCAAGAGCAGGCGTATATATAAATATATGCAACAGTACGAACAAGGTCAAGGGGTGAGCAAGTGAGGTAAGGTAGGCACAACACCCAGCTGAGTACACAAGCCCTGATGATCACAAGGCGCAAGTGCCTTGGTGAAGATATCAGCAGTGTTGGCCTCAGAGGCCACGTACGCAAGCCGCAGCTGACCACACTGCTATAGCTCATGAGCAAGGAAGTAACGGAGAGCAATGTGCTTCGTCCTATGCTCCAGTCTCTGCTCTCGACACAAGGCCAGCATGACCTTGTTGTCTACGTACAGCACTGGAGGAGAACGACGCGGCTCTCCGAGGTCAGTCAGCAGGTAGGTGAGCCAGCGAAGCTCCTGTGCAGCGATGGCCCCGGCGTAGATCTCAGCCTCACAACTGGAGCCGAGAACAGAAGACGAGCGAGTAGCCCGCCACGAAACAGAGCCGGAACCAAGGCTGAAGGTGTAACCCTGTGACGACCGCTGCGTAGCATGGTCGTCAGCCCAAGAAGCGTCTGCGTGCCCAGTGAGGACCACTGGACTCCGCCCTCCAAGCACTAGCCCCATGCGCGACGTACTGCACAAGTAGCGCAACACCCTCTTTGCTGCAGCCATGTGCTCTGGTCGGTGTCTCCCAGGAGCAACATAGCGTGCGAGAATGCTAAGAGGGTATGCAAGGTCAGGTCGTGTGCAGGTCATCAGGTACATGAGGCAGCCAACAAGCTCTGGGTACGGGCCACTCGACTCTACGGACTCATGCGAAGGCAGAGCTGAGAGCGAGTGGCGAGTAGGCAGAGGAGTGGCCTGAGGCGAGGAGTACGTGAAGCCGAACCGCTGAAGGACCTGCTGCACCATGTGTGACAGAGTCAGGGTAATGGTGCGGCGTGCTCTGTCCCGGGTGATTTGCAAGCCAAGGTAGCTGCGTAGTTCACCCAGGTCTGTGCACGTGTGTCTCTTCAGCAGCTCGGACTTCACGTGGGCGAGTCCAACAGTGTCAGCTGTGGCAAAGACCAAGTCATCGACGTACACGAGGATGTAGAATGGCGGCAAAGAAGTGTCGATGTGCAGAAACAGCGAGGGTCGGCAGTAGAGGGAGCAAACCCAAGAGCCGCAAGTGTAGTCCTCAGTGTGTCGTGCCACTCACGCGGTGCCTGGCGGAGACCGTAGACTGGCCGCCGGAGGATCCACTGGGTGCCAAGAGGAAAAGACCCAGTGAAGCCAGGTGGGCGACGCAGCCAGATCTCCTCGTGCAGGCTGCCCCGCAAGAAAGTAGTGCTGAAGTCAAGAGAGTGCAGCTCGTAATCGCGATGAGCAGCTATGTGCAGTAGTACCCGAAGAGTGGTCATCTTCGGGGTGGGAGAGAAGGTATGAAAGTAGTCAACTCCATGCCGATGACTAAAGCCACGAGCCACGTAACGCGCCTTGAAGTCAGGTGGAGAACCCGGCGGCCGCTTCACCCTGAAAATCCACATGGCACTGACGATGTTTGCCCTAGGCGGTGGAACCTCGTCAATGTAGGTGCCTGTGGACTTCAAGGAAGCCATCTCTGTGTCCATAGCTGCCTGCCACTGAGAGGAGTAGGGACCCTCTATCGCCTCCGCGTAAGAGCGCGGAGTCGGGATGTCAAGTGTATCCGGGTCTCCCTCAGAGGTCAGTAGTACAGACACGAGATGAGGTGAAGCAGCTGCCAAACACTGGAACTCCTCCTGCCTGTCCTCAAGGACGTCCGTGCCAAGGGCACACTCACCCCCGATGGACGGAGGAGAGACAGACTCAGACTCAGCGACAAGACTAGCAGCGTAGTGTAGTGGACAGCGAGCAGCAAAGTCGACGAGCTCAGCAACTAGGGCAGACACAGTAGTGGACTCAAAGGAAGGGTCAGTGACGACAGTAGCAACGAGATGCGTGGCTGTAGGAATTGCAGCACGAAGAGAGTGCGACTCCGGGTCGGCAAGAGCAGGAAGAGAGGACTCAGGAGGAGAAGGAAAAGGGGCACGCAGAGGAGCAGTGGACGGACGTAGAGACATCCGGTGCGTGCCAAGGACAGGAGGAGGACACTGACGCGAACCACGACCACTAGCCCGAGCAGGACGGTCAGGTGACGCAGGGCGAGACGCAAGCCCACGACGCTCAGCAAGACCTCCAGTAGGACCAGCGTAGGGAGAAGGAGCAGGCAGTGGGGAGGCCGGCTGTAACTGCAACTGGGACGGGACAGGGTGTGGACACTCTAAGGGAGGAGGATTAGGAGAAGGCGGGAGACCA